GGGGGGGGGGGGGGGGGGGGGGGGGGGGGGAAGTGACCTCATGGAACATGACATCATCATGCGCATGACACAAGATATACCTTGTGTCCTTTCCCTGGTGACCTCTACCAGGTCGGGCCCCTGAGACCTTAAGCAGAACTTCATCCAGGACACCTTGTAATGCACAGTTGTGGGGCTGAAATGTTCCCCGCCCCTCCCATGACCTGCCTCAAATCCCAGTATTTTGTGCCTGCATTCACACAACCCACTTAACCAGGCCCCTTAAAGTCCTAGCTTCATCAAAGTAACTTTGCTAAGCTTGGTTAATGCTAAGCTTGGATGAGGGGTGGTGAGTGGCTTAGCATGGTGAGCAAATCCAGCCCGTTGAGTCAGTTTATGGTTCGGTGTATTGTGCAAACCCAGAAAATGGGTTAATTCAAGAATCAGGTTAAGTGTGCTGTGTGAATGCACCCAGGAGGTGTGAAGGTTTGGGGGCTCTCCTGCTTTGGCTTGGCCACAGCACACCTTCTCAGAGGGCGTGGAAGTGGTGGCGTGGAGGACAGGAGGGAAAGGCTGGGCACGGCCCTCCCAGCAGAAGGAGACAGGAGAAAAACAAATGGGTAAAACTCCCTCCTCCGTGAGCATCTGAGAGCTCTGTAAAAACATTTATTATACGTAACCTGCAAAGGGTAAGCTTTGGAGACAAGATCTCAGACCATTGGAGGCCTTGGAGAATTAGTCTTCTGCTGGCTTCAGAGTGAAACGGAGTTGCCAGAGCCAGAGCAATTTTCACAGAAGCGTTCTGTAGAAACTCCATTTTCACAGATGCCTTCTTTTTCGTCTGTTTCCCTCCCTCCCACACGCACGCTCTTAAAAAAACGTTATTGTTTTGCAATGGCAGAGAAATTGCCCGTGCCGTATCGTAAAGCCATTTCTTCTGCTTTCCATCTGGTTTGCTTTCTGTCGGCGCCATCCAGCACGGGCAGCCGGGCACTTCCAGCGGCCTGGTTTCTGTCTTCCTCCCTCAGATGGATTTGCTTCAACTTCTGCATTGTTCTTGCCCTCAAAGTGTCAGGGGAAAAAGGGGTGGTTCTTTCTGCATTTGGGATGGCCGGCGGCTTCTTCACTTGGCTGTGCTTGGAAATCCCACCAGGGGACAAAGATGGTCAGTGCCAACCCTGGATTCCCTCGGTGGTCAGAAAAACACAGGGCTGGTTCTTCCCTAGCCCCAACCCTATGATTACCTGCAATGATTGAAGTTTAGCCAACCTCTTGCCTTCCTCCACAATCCACCTCCTTCAAGTGTCTGGATCTGCTAAAATAACTAGCCTGTTTTTCACCAGCTTTCTTGTAAGAAGACACTGTCCCTTTATGCTGAAATTCTGCACTCAGCCCCTGAGGATGTTGTGCAGTTCCCCGGATCTTTTAACAGCCGGGAGATCTGTCAAAAATTGCCAGTTGAAATGGCCTGAGAAGAGCTGTTGTGTGGGGAGCGAACCCCCGGTTTGTCCACCCAACTCCGCCCTTCGGTGCCATCTGAAGAGCTTCAAGGAGGACCAGTGGGTGAAGCTCTGCAGGGTGAAACAGTACCGATTGGAGAGTTTTGCATGGGGATTTTAGGGTTAGGGTCTCAAAGCTGCAAAAAGTTTTATTCTCCTTTTGACTCTTCTACGGGCAGAGATGATTTTCTCTCCTACCCATCACATCTTTGAAATGAAGAAATATTTGAATGATCCGCTTTCCCCTCTTGAAGGCGACATGTTTAGATAAGAGCTTTCCTGCTCCCCTGGCTTTTGAGTGCTGTTCGTTGCAGGCGGTCTGAAGGCCACCCTTTCCCTCTCCAGGGTGTGGAAAAGTCTGTCCCTTCGTGAATGCCCAGTCTTGGTCACTTGACTTTGGACAGTGACAGGGCTGGGTTCTTGCAACATGCTTACCCACATCAAGGAAAGACCTAGCAGAATCATTTGAATAGCACTGACTAGTTTTCATAGAATCACAGGGTTGGAAGGGACCTTGGAGGTATTATTCGGATTTAGCATGTTGTGTGAACCCAACCCATTTGGAAAGTTCAAGCTCAATATGGCCCAGAAGGTGCTTTAATATAATACCCAGGTTAAATGTGTTGTGTGAATGCCGCCACCGTGTGCCCTGGCTTTCCTATAGCTGCTTTCTGCAGTGCTGGTGCAGACTTAGCAGCAAAGTTCAGGCCTGGCCCACCTGACTCCCCATTTCTGTTCCAGGATGCCTGTTCACATCCCATATCCCAGAGAAGGTGGGACCCCAGCAAGGGGATGGCTGTCTCTTTGCAAGATGCCCTGTTTCCATGCCATCTGGAATCCTGGACTTTCTTGGGCATATGTCTTAGGGGGTGCCATCTCTGGTCCTCTTCCCGCAGGGGGCATCACCGGGGAGGCCTTCTAAAAGCGATTTCTCTCCTTCCTTTCCTCTCGGTCCAGGAGGCCCCCTTCTCTTCAACGAAGTGCAGTTTGTCTACAATTCCAAGCAGCTGAATGGGACACAGCGGGTGCTACTGGACAACGTCATCTCGCAGGGAGAGTGCCAGGAGCTGCAGCACGTTGCCAATGTGAGTAACCGCCCACCTGGGGGTGCCAAAGCAGAGGACACCTCCGCGCAGGTGACTAGGAACAATTTGAGTTCCAAAAGAGCTGCCTTGTCCATCTCTGGGAGTGAAAATCAGCATGAATCCTCTGGCATCTTAAAGACCAACCCCTGGGAGGTGTCGTGTTGAAGCAGAAGCCAGACATCCTCAACCAGAGGCCCCACAAAGTGCTTGGATTATTTCTCTGATAATTCCTAGCAATCTTGGCTGTTCTGGGGCCAGAGATGCCCCTATGCCTCTGAAAACTATCAGGCCAGGAAAGGCATGAATTATATAGAATTATAACCCCTGGAGGCGGAATGGGCTGTAGAGGCCATTGAGGGCAGGAACCCGAATTCCAGCACCCCTGGAGAAGTCACTCCAGCCTCTGTCTGAACACAGCAAGAAAGGGGACTGATTCTGCTGACGAACTGCTTTTCCACATAGGATCTTTTATTCCTTTCCTGTTGGAAGGGTCCTTCCTGTCCCTTTAATCTAGCATCCCGTCCCTTGCCCTCTGGAATACGAAAGAAGAGATCTTGACACTCGCCAGATTGTTCCTCCTCCTGCCCCACGTACATATTTCAGTCTGGGTCTAACAGCAGTCCTCTCTAATCTGGGCCCATCTTCTTCTCTTGCAGCACATTCTCATGGCTGGTGATGGATACAGGGGGAAAACCTCACCCCACACCCCCAATGAGAGGTTTGAAGGAGCAACTGTCCTCAAAGCGCTAAAGGTATGAATTTGCTGTGCCAGGCTAGATTTGTTCTCCTGTGGGGTAAGAACAACTGGAGAGCCCCAAAACTAGTTTAGGTCAAGTCCATCAGCAAGTCGTGGATGGAGGAACCTCTCTTCATGTATCCCAGCATCGGCTTGCTTTGGGTTAGCCCTTTGAGGCAGGCCAGGTTGAGACACTGGCATGGCAGAGATTCCAGGAATGTTCTTTATTGGAGTAAGGTGGAAAAGCAGAATCTCAGACGCCATCCCAGACCTTTTCTTCCTGCTTTTCGGACAGCAAGAACCAGGTGCGGCTGTTCTGAGCTTCTTTCTCACACCTTCTACATTCCCCAGGGTTAAGTCACTGTTTCCCTGCTCCCTCATCCTCCTCCTTCTCAAGGCTGGAGCTTAATTTGTCTCCACTTTGCAAAACACTCCTGTCCTGGTCCTTGCCTGAACCATTTTCATGTTTTCAGACTACACTGAACCCCCAAGTAGCCAACCTGGCCAGGTTTGTGTAACACAACCCTTGCTGGCTGGGGAATTCTGGGAGTTGAAGTCCACACGTCTTAAAGTTCTGAAGGCTGAGAAACACTGCTCTAAGGAACTGCCAAACACTCTCCGTGTGGTCCCCCAAATGCTCCAAAGCACCTTTCCCCTTCAGACCCAAAGCACTGATCCTTCCCCCTTGTTTCCCATTGTCCCCTTTATGACCAGCCCTTTGCCCCACTCTTTCATTGTCTCTCCACCCCACCCCTGGTTGCCATTAGCAAGGGTGCTTCCCTTCCAACAATACCAGGCTTGCTCCTCGCCACAATGTTGGTGGTGCAAAGAGAGGGAGAAAGAGAGAAATAACTCCATTATTCGGTTTGCCCGCAGTTTGGCTACGAGGGGAGGATCCCTTTGAAAAGTGCCCGCCTCTTCTACGATGTCAGCGAGAAAGCCCGGAAGATAGTGGAGTCCTATTTCAGACTCAATTCCACCCTATATTTCTCTTACACACATCTGGTGTGCCGGACGGCCCTCTCAGGTAAGGCTGGAGTGAGAAGGCAGCCCCAGATTTCAGCCTTTTTGCTGGGAGGATCCCCACCCCTCCTGCTACAACCTTCTGCCTTGGCACGCTGGGTCTCCCCACTCTGGGTCAGAAGTGCAGCTGGGTCCTTCCCTTGGACTTGGTTCACCCAACCCGCTTAAGCAGACCAAGGACAGAGCTGTAAGCTCTCATCCAATCAGCGTAAGTTGGGGTAGATCAGGTTTTCTCAACCTTGGTCACTTTAAGAGGTCCGGGCTTCAACTCATGAAATTGCTGGCTGGGGAATTCTGGGAGTTGAAGTCCAGACCGCTTAAAGTAGCCGAGGTTGAGAAACGCTGGGGTAGAGGAATGGGGGGAGAACCTTGATGAAGGTGTGCAAGAGCAGTTAAAGGAAAATAAGAGATGACTCAGTCCTGGGAAAAGGGAAGGTATGAGAAAGAGACTCAAGATAATGCCTCCTTGATTCTCTTTGGTATGAGAGAGGGCAGAGGGGTACGCTGGCAGGTTTCCAAATTCCTGTTATAATACCCTACAACAGCGAAGTAGCATTTGTGGAATCCTTGGAGGATCTGCTTCTTGGCAAAGGACTGGCAAATGTTAACCTTGGCTTGTTGAGCGGAGCAAACCCAGTGATTCCAGTGTGTACCAAGACATGGTTTAATTCCAATCCAGGGAAAGCCTAGGGTGAGAAGGCAGCTGCTTCTCTTTCGTGGAGGGCTGGAGAATGACTGCTAATAGGAACAGGCAATAAGGGTTTAGACCGAGAAGGAAGATAAGGGTTATGCCTTATTTGGGGATCTACCACCTAGAGGTGGCTTAGGAAGCCGCAGCAGCCACAAAACGGTATCAACAAGGAACTCAACCCACATAACCAAAGTGGTCTCCCTTCTTGGCTTTGCCTTTTAATGTTCTTGTGGTTTCAGGAACCGGAGAACACCAAAGGTGTTCCATTTAGGAAAGAAAAATAAAGACCACCAGATATCCAAAATAATGGGAATGACAGAGAGAAAGAGAAAGGATTAATTTGCAGCCGCGAGAGTTGCAGAAGACTGTTTCACTCAATTGCTTGTGGGATTAAGCTGTATGTATGTTGAACCCAATAGTTTCCCTTAGATCAGGGTTCCTCAACCTCAAGAACTTTAAGAGGTGTGGACTTCAACTCCCTGAATTCCCCAGCCAGCCTGGAGTTGAAGTCCACACCTCTTAAAGTTGCTGAGGTTGGGAAACACTGGCATAGAGTGTTGGGTGAACCCAGTTGGTCTGCACCCAAAAAGGGCAACAGCCAGCCAAATACCCCCATAGCCATTTCACCTGCTGGATGGTTCAGGATGGTCCCAAGATTCCAGCTGAGCAGCTGATGGTAAGCACCTTGGTCAGAGGGAGTCCCATTCATCGTTCAGACATGAACAACCTGATGTTCTCCTTTCCAATGACTGTACACCGTGTTGATGCGAATACCAGACCCTCCGTGGCAGGAAACCAACCCTCGTGGCTACAGTGATGTGACTTGGCATGCCCAGACAGAAATAGGATAAAACTAACAGGATGGCTCCAGGCGTTGGCTTATTTTATACAGTCTTATAAAGCCATGGCTTGGTCTCTACCACACAAGGTCCCTAATTCCAATTCAGAGTGTTGCTTCCTTCTTCCCAGCCAATACAGCTCTCAAAGGTTTGGGGAAGAAGATAATGGAGCAACAGAGTTACTCTAGAACAGTGTTTCTCAACCTTGATCCCTTGAAGATGTGTGGACTTCAACTCCCAGAACTCCCCAGCCAGCATGGCTGGCTGGG